AGGATTTACTGCTTCAGGTAACTAATAACCTTCCTTCCCTGATGCTGCCATACAGTAACATCACCACAAATGTAACAGTTGAAATTTCTGGTTGTTAACACTTTTTCCAAACTCTTCCAGATGATGTTGTGAGCTAAAATCTGCTTTTAAACCTAACAGATCATAAATCATACGACTAACAAACCCAACCACTTACTGTTAGTACTGTTAAAACCCAAGTAGATTTACAGGTAGAAAGGACATTTTACACTTAAAATTTACATCATTAGTAAGAGCCAAATACAGAAGAAAAATATTTCCAAATCCAGTAACTACTCACGTAGATGCCCAGCCCATTAAAGGGTTCTCCCAGCGCTCTCTGTTATCAAATTCCATCTTCCATTTCTTTGTATTGTTAACTCCTGCCTGCATTGCATTACGTGCTGGAACAAAAATGTGAACTTTTCTGGTCTTGATGTGCTCATCTGGAACACCAGTTAAAGCAGTGATATCCTATGAAAAACACAATGGAACTTGTTAAAAAAGCGTTCATGTAAAAGACTTGTAAAATAATACCCCTTATGCTTTTTACATAATTCATGCTTTATTTTTAAGTTACAAAAAAAAGAAAAAAAGTGCAGTAAAATATGTTATGAGTCCAGCTGTATAAGAGTGAAGCTAATACATGTTGGGGGTGCTATCATCCTGCTTCCACTGGCTGAATTAGATTTCGCATGGATCAGTCACCTGAACCTGCTCATCTCCCAGCCACACAGCTGCTAGCGCCACAGGAGGGACAGGACATTCCCTCTACCCTCTGACCACGGCTGCGAAGTCAGGACTGCTCCAACTTGCACCAGCTAAAGCAAATGCAGAAATGTATAAACTCTTCTTTCTCCCTTAAAGAAAATATTAGAGCACAGACTGAAACATCGACAAATCCCAAGATTTTACATTGCCATTAGGAGTCTAAAATTCATATGAACAGGACTATTCACTAAAATCCTAGCCAGCTAACTATGTGCTGCAGTGTAAGTGCTTTCACTTGGGCTTAAGTCTGTATATAATTAAGAGGCAACAAAATCCATGCTGACTCAAGAAGCTATGCTTAGCATGAATGAAGAGGCAGGAGGTTATCTTTCGAACAATAATTTATTGATTGTTTGAGACTGCAGAGGAGGTACTAGAATTCAGCTCTCTTATTTCTCTAACTGTTAGTTATTACATAAAATTGACCCCCTCGTCATGTTTCAAGCTATGCATATCAGCTTTTGAGAGTCAATTCTTCTGTTGATGTTCAAGATCAAGAGAGGAACATTTGATATTGGTAACATTCTTCAGTATTTTTGTGAAGAACAAAAGGATTCAGGAGATTCCAACCTTCAAAGAAAAAAAAAAAAAGCTTTGTAACATTGTATACAGTCAGTAGTCGGATGCCCTCCTCTACTAAGGCTTGGCTTGTGAGCCCTCTACAAATAAACCTAACAAAGATAAAAAACTGAAGGATCACAAAACCAGCCTAAAAATATTAACTGACTTTAACAAAGAATAAAATAGTGAAAAACCTCACAAGAACTGCTGTGAAAAATTACCCTCAGCAGCATCTGATATAATCAAAGTGAACTTTCTCGCTAAAAACTAAACAGTAATTACATAAAATTAACCTGTCAGTTCACCCTGGTAAAGAGTGAAATCAAACATCAAATCCATCTCTACGGATGCTACACTACTCCTGTTCCTTACATACTTAAAAGGCCAGTGGGAGCTCCTGGGTCTCCATCCCTGCCCTCCCCTCTCTCCAGGAACAAATAGTAAACTGGTAAAGGTCCAAAAAAAGTGCAGCACAACTTTGGGCATACTGAACTCATTTTGTCAGTACTGCTATGACTTGAATTAAAAGGCAAACAAGTTTAAATAAAACACCATGATTTACATGTCTGTAGCTACTAACTTTATGGGGTTTTGTTTTGTGGCAAACTTAAAAGCTCTTGGTGCTGTCACCAGATCATTCTTTGAAATGAGGCAAGTCTCATTTTTCATTTTACTTCAGAAAGTAAATTTTGGGAGATCAGTCCCTCAAAACTACACAAGGGAGAAAGTTTAAAGCATTTTACTTGTATTTGCAATTAGAACAGCAGGGGAAACAAACAAGCATGCATGCTAATTTTCCAACTTCTGACATTTCTACCCAGACTACCAAAAGAAACTGTCAAAATATCTTAACAATTCCATTATAAATGCTTTTGTTAGGACCAAGTAATGTTTATTTTTAATATGACTGTAGCAGTGATATGAAAAAAAAACACCACCAGTCACTGGAATGTTGCAACATGTATGTAAAACGCCTCCTGACAGACTGGCATTTCTGACTGCTGAAGCTTAAACAATGGTTTTAGAAGGAAATACCTTAAAGTTTTCTTATTTGAATTGGCAAAGTGCTTTGTTTAACAAGAAGGGTTTTTTACCTGCAGTAAAGTTTGGTGGGGCTTCAGTGTTTCAGCTTGCCTGTTTATAGGAATAGGCTACTACATTAGCCTTTATTTCTGTATTTAACAAACATGCCTACTGAGAAAACGTAAGAATATTCACAAGAAATTTCTTTTTCCCCTCTGAAATAATCTGCTACATGCAAAAATTCCATGTTTGTTACAATCAAATACCTCTAAATACGCAAGCTTCAAAATAGCTCAAAATTATGAATTTTTTTTTTACTATTATTATTCTCGGCAACTCATATGTCCATTATGAATTTTATGCTTTAGATTTAGAGGTTTTTGAATTGTTCCAGAATTATCTGGAATTATTAAAACAAGATACTATGTTAAATAACATTATGGACATACACAATTTCCTCTTTTGAAGTCTTCACACCAGAGAATCATAAAAATACTACACATTAGTGCATACAGAACACAATCTAAAAAGAGTATTAAAACCCAGCAAATGCTATATTTATGAGGTAACTGTAGGAAAGAAATGCCTAGACTTGCTCAACTGGATGAAAATAAAACCCAAACCCCAGACAAATCATAAGTCCCTTCAAGCCATGTTTTTTTGGGTACTCAGCTGGCTCCAAATCAAAGTTATTTCACTAATAATATAGGATTCATCCCTTAAAAATCTTTTCAAGGCGAAAACTAAAACCTGCCTACTTTCTGAAACTAAAATATCTACATGGTGTTGCTAGCTCTTCATACTTTGATTCATTATAGCTAAAGTTTCCATGCCTTCTGGGAATCTAGCAATTGTTTATTGATATCTCCCCCATTTTAAAGCTGGCAATTGAACAGACAGTTGTTAGGACAATGAGTTTCTGGTTTCTGAAGCCCAAGTTGTCCTGACATAAAATCACTGTTTTTGCTTGCTGTAGACACGTAAGGTACTGTAGCATAGCTGAGCTGTTGCCAAAGATATGGAATAAAAAGGCTTGGCATCTATCACATACTTGACACCTAAAGAGCACAGAAGCTCTAAAATTCCTATTCCCTGTAGGCACGCTCTTAGTCTAGACTGATTTCTCACACTTTTAAAATGCATTACAACACTCTATTGTGATCATTTCATCCACACAGCTCCAGCTAGTGACAGAAGAACCTGTCCTTTA